GCGGGATGTGCGTCCCCAAAGAGAGAAGGACTGTTATCTGATGGGAAGGAGGGGAAGGGTTTCTGGGAAAACAACAGATGGCCACAGAGGGATCATGTAGTTCCGTACAAGTCAAAATATCTTTAAAATAGTGAATTCTCCCTTTAAAATTCATGTAAATTTTGTTTTAAATATCTACGTCGCGTTATATTTTTCAAATGTTCCATCTGTAGATTAATTTACCCTCCTGGAAATAGACTCTGGGATAAAGTTTGAATTCAGGAGGTTATTGGGGATTACTCTGGGGAGGACCTGTAAGGGGTGAGGGAAAGGTTACCTATGATGCAGGTGCAGCAGGCCTCAGGTGATCGCGAAGGGAGCTCAGAACCTGGGATGGCCCTTCCGAGGTGTGCCGCGTCGAGGCCGAGGCCAGGGGCCTGACCTGTGTGACTGGTAGTGGGCCACCTGGAGGAAAGCGTAAGCTTACAGGGCAACTGCCTTCTCTGAGTGCAGCTGCTAGGGCGGGGCTGGGCTATGACAGCCCCCAGTAGCCGATGGAAGAGAACTTTATTGGGAGTCAGGGTGGGGGTAAGGTGTGGGCCTGGGTAGCTTGCAGAGCATCCAGGAAAGTTATCTCCAGAAAGATGTGTTGTTTATTTGTTGTTGTGAGTGCTCCCTGGCATGTCCCTCTCCCAGAGTTGGAGCAAGTTCCCCAGAAGTACTTAAGGTACTCCAGTGTGAGGGTCACAGCACAGGCCCTGGGAACCCATCATGGGGGATTAAGAAGACAAACTAACGGAGGGAGAAATGGAAGCAGAAGGAGCAATTCAGAGACCTACTCTAATCAGCTTTTTGGTAGCAACAGTAGGAATCAAGAAAAAAGATAGATATTTCCAAGTTGCCGAAGACTTCGCATCTCCTGCTGTCTCCATACATTTGTATTGCCTTCTCTTGTTTTGATCGTGAAAGGACCTAAAGATCATTGGAATTTAAAAAAAAACAACACAAGCTTGTAAAGATGAGTTTCTCCATCGTGTTTACAGTGTTTTCCATTATCTTTGGTTTATAGATCATTGGGTAAACAATATAGTGCTTGCTCTGGGAGCAGCCTTTAGGTGACGGGAAATACTGTCCCATCCCTTCAGGGGATTCTGAATTTAGAGAAGAAAATACAGATTGTCCTCTGGATAATTTTCCTTTTGATTGAACTTCCTCTTATTAAAGTTGACTATTGAAAAGATTTAAGTGTTGAACATTCTCAGTTGAAAGTATCTTAATTCACTTTTTCAGCAAATGTTTACTAAACACCTACTGAGTGCAGGGCACTGCTCTAGAGATTTGAAGAGCCCCAGCAGAGCAGGCCAAAGCTACTCCCTCACGAAGCTTGGAGTCCAGCAGGGAGAGGCAGACAGTATGCATAGTACACAAACCATGTGGACTGTTAGAAAGCAGGATGGACTGTGGGAAAAGTCATAGACGGGGGTTGCTCATGGCAGGCTGTGGGGCTGGGGGTTTGCACAGGATGGTCAGGGTAGGCCCCACCGAGAAGGTGACATCTGAGCAAGAACGAGGAGGCTGTGTGGGAATTAGCCCCATGGGTATCTGGGTGAAGCATCCTAGGGAGAGGGGACGAATGCCCTAAGGCGGGAGTAGGGAGAGACAGCAGGAGAAGAGGTACTTCCTCTCAGCTGCCTGTTTGTAGTATTTCGGTGGGTGGGTGACAGAGCCCAACTGAGTCCTAGGGTGCCTGAGGCAGTTCACCTCCTGACTCTCTCTTCTTTCACTATTTAACTGTAAAAACAGAAACAAAAACAAACAAACAAAGAAAACTGGAGGAAGAATCTTCTAGTCAAGAGAATAATGTGTACTTCAGTTCTTTTGGGGCTGGAGCCTGGGGTACCATCATCAGCGGGAAAAAATAACATGTGTTTCTTTTTGGTCTCTTCTCCACTCAGCTCTGACGTTGATATTTCATGAAGATGTGGTCTTGGGTTGAAGACTACGGCTAAAGTCATCAGAGATTTTGTTTTTCAAAGATAAGATCCCTCATTTCTCACTGGGGATGATCGGTTGAGCGTGAGAACTGGTGTGTGTGCACCAGGGCAGCTGATGCGTCTTAAACACAGAGAGCCGGGAGCCCGGACTCAGTCAGTGATGACCGTCACTCAGATTGTGACGTGACGTCACCCCAGCTACTAAGTGCCCGTTGTCTGTAAGGCCCACGCACAAGCCACAGATTCCATTCTTTTCCCTTGTGTAATACCAATTCATAAGTACTTATTCTGGCAAAAGTGAAGTAACATGCTACCCGTCTGTCTTCTGAGGGTCCTCTAGGAGTCCGGACACGTACATTCCCAGCAGGACCGCTCTTCTCACTGTCTGGTGCCTCATGTCTGAGTCCCTGGTGCCACTTCTGCCTGCTTCTCGCCTGCTCCATCAGTTTCCTTGGGGGTGCAGCCACATTAGCTCGCTTCTGTGAGCCTCAGTTTCCCCCGCAACATGGGTTGTAGTTGGGTTAAATGATGGCTGCCTGAAGGCTTAGCCCTTGTCCCTGCTCTGCAGACTGCCGCAGCTGGAGCCTTGGAGAAGAGGAGGGCTCTGGCGAGGAGCAGGGAAAGGGGCTGGGGCCGCACAGAGGGGAGCTCGGATGTGCCTGTGGTGGGGGGGTGTGAATGCAGGCCTCTGCTGTGTTTCACTGATGGTGTTTTAAACACGCCAGCATGGGGAGGTAGATGGTGGGATCTTCCTTGTACAGGTGGGGAAGAGGGGAGCCTAGACAAAGCCATGACTTAGGGTGGCCACATGTCTTACCGTGTAGCCGCAGTTCACCTCCTGCGGGAAATGTGATGTTTCTTTTAAAAATAATTATGGAAACATATTTTGAAAATCAGAAATATTTCCCCCCATAATTTCTTTCCTAGAGAGAGAAATAATGCATTATTTATATCACCTTTTAAGTTCAGAGTAATTTTATATTCTTTCTGTGTTAATATTCCTGTATATTGTTGAGTACACAAAGCAGTGGTGTTATTCTCATTTTGCAGGTGATTAATCCATCTGAAAAGCTAAAAAGGTTGTTTGTAAATATTTCATTAGTAAGTATTCATTATTTTCATATAAAATTAGGCATCATACAGTGCTTCTATATATACGTATTTTTGAAATTGAAGTCGAGTCAGTTTACAACGTTGGGTCAGTTTCTGGTGCACAGCACGATGCTTCAGTGATACGTGAACATGCATATAGTCATCTTCATATTCTTTTTCACCACAAGTTACTGTAAGATGTTGAATGTAGTGCCCTGTACTATGCAGTGTAAACTTGTTGTTTATCTGTTTTATATATAGCAGTTAGTATCTGCAAATCTTGAACTCCCAGTTTGTCTCTTCCCACCCTCTTCCCCTCCGGTAACCATAAGTTTGTTTTCTATGTCTGTGGGTCTTTCTATTTTGTAAATAAGTTTGTCTTTCTTTTTTTAGAGTCCATATATGAGCGATACTGTATGGTATTTTTCTTTCTCTTTCTGGTTTACTTCAGTTAGAGTGACAATCTCCCAGTCCATCCATGTTGTTGCAAATGGCATTATCTTATTATTTTTTATGGCTGAGTATAGACAGTGCTTTTAAACTCAGTCGAAATGCAATCAGACAAACAGGCTCAGCAAATGTAAAATATATTAGGGTTGAATTGTTGTGAGTAGGAATGGTACAACACAAATTTGCTTTCTCAAATTTGTGATTAATACGTAAATATAGTTGAACCTTGAACAACACGGGTTTGAATGGTGCAGATCCACTTACACATGGACTTTTTTCAGTAAATACACACACTGTTACTGTTACACAGTCCAGGGTTGGCTGGATCCAGGCATGTGAAATGGCAGGCACAGAGGGCTGACTGTGGGACTTGAACACCTGCAGATTTTAGTATCCACTGTGGGTCATGGAAACAATCCCCCATGGATACTGAGGGATGGTGGTATGTTTTACCTTCAGCATTTCCTTCAAATTGCAAATGCTGAATGAATGCAATTTAAAAGGGTACAAACTTCAAGTTGTAAGATGAGTAAGTTCTGGGTATGTGATGGTGACTGTAGTTAACAGCCCCATGTTATACAGGTGAAAGTTGCTAAGAGAGTAAATCTTACATGTTCTTACAAAACAAAAGGTAATTATGTGAGGTGATGGAAGTGGTAGCTAACCTTATTGTGGTAACCGTTTCACAATATATACATGTATTAAATTAAAAATGAATGCATTGTATGTATTGAAATTTATTCATTAAGTTATTTGACAAATATGTATTGAGCATCAAAAATGCCAATACTTGAGTAGCTTCTGAGAATAGAATTCCGTGTCGTGAGGTGTAGAGGGAAGCTATAAACAAGTGTGAAATTGCAGTGTTGATGAGAGCTACAGAGGAAAGGTGTGCAATGCTCTGAACTGTACAATAGGGAGGTTTGACTTACTCACGGAGGAAGGGAAGGCTTCCCTGAAGAAGTGGTGATCCTGTCGAATCACCTGATACCTGACCTCTGGGGGAGGAGCAGGAGCAGGCAGTGGGAGAGTGGAGAGCGTGCGTCCCGGGCAAGACTGCTTCAGAAGTCCAGGCAAAATAAGATGCTGCTGGATGAAGGGGTTTGCCGTGGAGACGAAAGAAGAGGACTTAAGGTAGAAAAACAGGGAGGAAGTCGTATCTGTGAGATTAATGATGCATTGGGTATGGGGGTTGAGGGAAAGGGAATGTTAGAAGATGTGAATTAATGTTGTGACAGAGGTTTATCCACAAGGCCTTAAAAGGAAATTAGAATGAGCGGTTTCAGTTCACCCCTCTGTGGGGCTGTGTCTAGTTTAGTTTACTGAAATTGGCTGAACTTTACAGAGGAATAGATTTTGTACTGACTGCTTCAGAAACACTTCTGCTTATATTTTATCTGAAGGTATCTATTTGAAATTTTAATTTGAGAAGGTAGCTTAATGAAATTTTATGCCTAAATGTTTTATTTGAATTCTAATTGGTAGAATCTGAAGAAGATTCAAGAGATGGAGAAGAGCGATGAGTCTAGCACAGACCTGGAGGAGCTGAAAAATGCTGACTGGGTGAGATAGCTGGGTGTTCTCTCTGTTCTGTTGAGTGTTGAAGAAACTGTATCATGCTTTTTAAAATGCTGGTTTATCTTTAGGACTGTTGTATGAATTGATACTACACAAATTTGAATGCCTAGTCTTACATTTGAGGAAATAGCTATTCTCCATCTTAAAAAAGTGTCTGATTTTATTAGAACCACTCGCAATGTCTCTGGGAATTTCAGCATTTAAAAATATTGACCTTTCTAATTATATTAATACCTTAGCATGCTTTTATGTGTAAGTCAAAGTTTAAGCTCTGTGTCAGGATATAGTGAAACTATAGTGTGGTCCCCTCATTTATCCACTGAGTAGTCACTGGATTAGGGCCCTGGGATGCAGAGTGAGTAACACAGGGCTCTCTGCGCTCACAAAACTGAAGGGTTCTGAGTTCAAGGACAGATGGTTGTGGTGGATTTGTGCGTCCATTATTTTATGTAACTGTGACTTTAGTTTCTGAAAAGTCATTTGTAAAATTTTTGCCAAACAACAGTGTATAAAGAACTGAGCACACCGCAGAGCCTGTTTGAATCTTTCCATAGACTATAGCAGAAGCTTCTGATGTGAGTAACCGTCCCTAACTGATCTGTTCTGAGAATTCAGAGTTTCACATATCAAGTTTTCTGAAAGCCTGAGAAGATCGAGAGAAGAGACAGTTTTTTTCAAAATGAGGTGATACTTGAACTGAGTGTTAAAGGAATGAGTAAGAGAGGTTGAGACTGGAGCATCCCCCAGGGAGGTCTGAGTGTTCTGGGGAGTCGTGTCCGGATGCCTTTAGCGGCAGAATCTTTGAGTCTGTTTTGGATGTTCATATTTTAGAAGATGATCTAAAGGATATACCACAATATTAAGTTCCTCAAATTCTCTTTGGAATAAGGAATGATACACATTTGTTTAAAATTACAAATCGTTTTTCAGGATATTTTTGAGAAATTTAATGAGTTATTTTATGTAGACAATTCTTACAAGTATATCACCTGATTTTTAATATATTTGGGTCACTTTTTGAGCCACTTATTAATTTCAACAAACTATGATATTTCACCTAAATGCCATATTGATTTATTCTTCACTCTCGTTAAGAATATGATAGCTTAGCTTATAGACAGGAAAACAAACGGGTTAAAATATAATAATAATACACATATTTAATGTATTTTAAATTATTGTAAATGCTTCACGTGTATCTCATTGTCTTGAAGGGCAGACAGAGTAGCCTACTGTTGTTTGTTGACAAGAAAACTGGTATTTAAATAATTTGTGCGAAGGTAGTAGTAACATAAAAGTTGTCATTTCTGAACATTTTCTAAGTGCAGAACACTGTACTTCAGCCCTGATCCTCTCAAGCTGGCGAAGGGTACCATTTTCTTCGACTGACTAGGAAGACAGGGTTCGGAAAAGTGAGTCAGCTTGCTGGAGATCGGACGGCAGTAGACGGTCGTATTAGGTAGCTGTGG